AGAACAACATGGCCGATTAAAATGAGAACACTTGCGCAAGTAAATCCAGCTTTTCCGTTAATTTTCGATTAATCTCAAGCAAAACAAATTGAAATGACCAAACAGCAAACCTCTAAGACCTGAACAGCGCATTATCATTCGAAATCAGATACAACCCTCCCTCCCTTGTTTTCTTTAATTTCTTTAATTTTAAAGATGTACTCCTAACAAACAGATTCATGTCTATAAAGTAAGAATTTAAGTAAGAATAACTGAAGACCCTAAACAGTGGATATGTGTGTCTTAAAAAGCCATTGTGTTCAATTCTCTGGGGCAGAAGGAGGAGAAAGGACACTTGATAGCAGATGTAAAAAGGGCACAGGGACTATTTAAACATAACAATAGAAAAATGCCACCCAAATGCAGCCCCCCCCCCCCCCTCGAGACAGACTGACTGTCTTGATCTTTTCAAAATGACACTGACCAGCAGGAGACTATGTCTAATTAGTGGCCAACGTCCCAACTGACGTGACCGCCTTGTGTTGCGGAAGGTCCCATGGGGTTAGAGTTCATGACCTGACCAAAACACAGAGGCTGCTGATCCCCCCCCCCAGCCACACAGGAGGGCTTTGACTCAGTTGTATCAGCCCACACACACATACACACACCTACACACCTTCACATCCCTCAGACCTGACGCTCCTCCATCCCTGACCTTGACCTCTGCTGATGAGAGAGAGAGGGAGTCCAACACGTCTCCAACCTGATTTACTTGACGCTTTGGTTGACGTTGCTCTTCCGCTGTGTGTGTGTGTGTGTGTGTGTGTGTGTGTGTGTGTGTGTGTGTGTGTGTGTGTGTGTGTGTGTGTGTGTTTGTGCACGTGGGAGCGTGAAGAGCATGAACTTTTGTTTTTATTTATGTGCTTTTGCCAATATTTGTGTTTGTCTGTCTTTTTGCATCCCGACACTCTCCCTGTATGAACACACGTGTTTAGCTGCACATCAAAGAGGAATATATCCTCTTTGATGTGCGTGTGTGTGTGTCGGGGCGTCGGTGCACGTGTGCACGTCGGTGCGCATGCTTTCCAGGCTGCTGTAAATCTCTGGACTGACATGTTGCTTCAGTAGGGAAACAGCAGGTTTGGGACACACTGATGGCCTTCACAGATGGCTGCAGGACCCTGCCCATGGGAGACCTTAGTCTGCCTATTAATTCATTCATTTTCCACTGCAGAGGAGACACTGAGGCAATTGTGATTGTTTCCAAAAGCCAATGTCCCTTGAGAGAAGCTCTGGTATTTTCTTATTACCCCCCCGCCCCACACTTCACTCTTTTCCTTTCTAACCTTCTCTGTCCCGCTGCCCGCCTTTCTCCTGGTTGGTGTGTGTTCTGTGCGCATGCCCTCATCAGCCTACGGCAGCACAATGTCATTGTCTCTGTGTCATTGTGTCACTCAGCCAGTGTGGGACACTGATCCGTACCAATAAAAAGAAACGCCCAACTCGACAGTCACTTTATTTCTGCTTTTCATGCATCACTGACGGCAAAGGGTATTTAGAGAGGGACGACAATTTCATTCCTCTGAACCAACTTGAGAGGCGGTTGAAAATCAAATTACTCAAAGTAGTCTAGTTCTCAAAACATGTTAAGTTTGGTTCTTTTGCCAAAGCAACATTGAAGCATCCTCGTCAATGGCACTGGAGGGAAAAAGTGCAGCGAGGAAAAGAGGGGAATAATTAGCATAATGAAGGCACTCATTCACTCACTCAGTCTATAAACTTACGAGATATAACTAATATGAGTGTGTCACAGGAAGCAGCATATTATAGCTGTGGCTCTGAAAGCAGGATTTCTTACATCACAAAGTTTGAAAAAGCTCAAAATGACTCCATCAGAATTCGTATTCATTAGACTGAGAAATGGAGGTTTCTCAGACAGCTGACACTGGCTTTTTTCTTGTAGTCCAGACGTGAATGCAAATGAGAGCAAGGTGCCATTGTCACTGTGTGCCAGACGTTGGAGGCAGGCCGAGGCTCTGTGCCATACAGTCCTTTGGGCCCGATTGTTTCCGCCCGTCTCACTCTCTTCTTCTGAAGGACTGTACGGATCTCTCCTTCCACTCTTCCTGTAGACCAGTGCTGGTTCAGACCAGGCCCTTGGCTTTTGTGGTGGGTAGAGAAAGGCGTTATATAATGGCCGTATTGCTGTTAAAGTTAAGAGCAGAGTTAAAAAGAAAAGTATCATCTCATCTTTTCTTGATAAAGTCACATTATCCAGAAGGCAACAAAATTGTCTCTTGATTTTTCTTTTTATAAAATAGCCCGTAACATTTTCAGTATTTTAACCGTTGTCATATTTTAAGATAATTGTAATATGTTGTCAAAGCACAGCGCTTTGTCCAACTACAAGGAAGTTAAAAGCATCAGTAAATGTAACGCTTTCTTTTGTCCGTGACCCAGAATCAAAGAGTGATGACTTTCCAGATTCTTTCCACCCTTACTGAAAATTAGAATGAAGTTACAAAATCTAGTCCTGAATATTGGATCACAGGACATTTGTTGTTCTTTCATTGTCAATTACTTAAGAAATGAGATTACAGGGCAAGATCAGCGTTTTACAGCCACTGGTTTCAGTTTTATATACATAAGATATGTATGTGTATATATGTATATGTATATGTGTGTGTATATATATATATATATATATATATATATATATATATATATATATAGCGTGCATGTGATTTTACAGAGCACTCAGGCTTAGTTTGCTCATTTCTCAAATTTGGAAATTCCCCTACCTAAGAAGGACAAGCAGGGAGCCATGCAGGTTAAATGAAATGAAGTTACATGAAAAAGCCCTGTAATGAACGGTATACGATATGGTGTTGAGATGATATTGTCAACGGTGTGTAAGTGTGTAAATGTGCCAGACAGGCTATTTCACTGTGAAAAGGTGCTGCTTATCAGCGCACTGCAATTAAAACGGACAATGTGGCCATTATGCTGCAGATTGTGTGTGTGGGAGCGTGAGAAGGAGAGGTATTAGAGTGTGTGTGTGTGTGTGTGTGTGTGTGTGTGTGTGTGTGTGTGTGTGGTGATGCCCTTTCTGTGACGAGGCGCCGTCATACACTACACGTTTGTTGGATGGATCTGCTACTTCTTCAAACGGAGGTGTCATTGGAGGAAAGTGAGACAATGGAAGCTTGTAGTCATATTTTCCCCAGCCCTCATATTGTGTGTGTGTGTGTGTGTGTGTGTATGTTGCTGGTCCCTCATCAGACCCTCATTAACTCCACTAAGTCACCTTTGATGAGGTGCTGATGGGTGTCTGTGCTTTGCAGCCAAGTTTCTCCCTCCTCTCCTTTTTCACCTTAAATTCCTTTTTTTTTTGGTCTTCTCCCACTTCACTGATCCACCTCATCTTGTTTTATTAAATTGTGTCACTCTTTCCCTCCAGGCAGTATGCAACCTGCTACATGGAAGCGGATTCAGCCGGATCAACACTCTCCGCTGGTACTGTGTTTGAGTTTATGGGTTTACAGTCCTGTCCGACGCGACCTGTTGGCACCTAGAAGCTAAGATGCCACGTGAATCGTGCGCATTCTCAGTCATTTATGCAGAATGTAGTTTTTGGAGTACCAACTCAAAATAATAAAAAGTTGTATTTAATGTTCATCAGATCAAATTTATAATGAAAAATAACTAGCTTCTTTATGGTCGTTTGAACCGTTGGAATAATGAGCACAAAATAAAAAATGAAAACTAGAAAACAAGATTAGTTTCATTTCCATGATTGCATCTGGCTTCAGTTTTTATAACAGGAAAATAAGTAGCTCTATTAGGCATAAAATGAACTAGTTATTTAGTGTGTATTAGCGTGGAAGTTTAATCCTAATGATATAGAAATAACACACAATTCAAAGAAAGATTCTTTATAAAAATGTCAAATATATTTTATTCAATTTCTTTTTTTGTAAAACAAATATGTATTTCAGTAACATATCTAGAGTACTTACATGTTAACTGATTACAACATATTGTCAAAGTTAAATCTTCATCTTTTACTGCTACGGCAACAGTGAATTTAGGTGCTATATCTGAATGTGTGATTCCTGTTCTCATACAATAAGAAGTTTAATTGAAGTAAAACAAAAATGTAAGTACAAAACCAATAAACATTTGAAGAGTGATAGTGAAAAACTCAAGTACCAGATACTTATCAATCCAACATTGTTGGTTCTGTCCAGAGTCTTTCTCTCGCTTTCTTTCTCCCCTGGTTTTCAGGAAGATGTCTCCTCTGCCTTTTAGCTGCTTTGCTCTCAAATTGAAAACGGCAACAAAAAAAAAAATCCAACGTCCCTCTTTCAGGCAACAAAAAATCTTGCTGTACAAAGTCAGTATAAGCATCATCCACTCCTCCAGTCTGCCCCCCCCCCCCCCCCCCATCGGCCGCCTCTCCCAGCAGGGATGCAAGAAAAAGGACCAGCTTCCTAATCATCTAGTATTCATCTCAATCGCCTACTTTTTACATTATGAAACATACATGGAAGTGGATCATCTACACGTCTTTGCTTTGATGTTTTTCCTGGGCGTTAATTGCACGGACCACATTTACTGCTGCGCATCAAAGCCTGTTTTCCCGCTCAGCTCCCTCCCCTTTCCTACTGTATAGAATCATTAAATTATCAAACACGTTTTACCTCAAAGCTTTAAATTCCCATTTCTTAATGCCACTGTCTTGACAAGATTTCTGTGCGATACAAATTATTTGTTTTACTATATCAGAAGAGAAAAGTAAATTTGTTAAGGAAGATTCTATTAAATTGTAGAGGTGAATCAAAATGTTTTTTTTTTTTCATCTTTTTTTTTTTTTAAATCAGCGGTTTCTTCTGGGCTTTAATTGTCAGGAGGGAGCGACCGTGTGTCCCCGTCCAACATTAACATGTCTGATTCATCTTGGATCAGGACGGCCCCCTTGACGACTTGATTGATGTTAAAGCTGAAAAAACACAAGCTCGGCGGCCCTGCTTCCCCAAAGTAAGACTGCGCAGCGGTGCTGGTAAAATATTTTGCAGGGGTCCGGGGATCAGGGACACAGAATTTGGACCTACGTGGGACAGGGTCAGAATGTCGGGGCGCACGGGCCTCGTCACTGGAAGACGGTGTGGTAGGTGGGACACTGGTGAGACTTCATGTACTTGATCGCAAACTTGAGCTCCTTGCTCTTCTTGTCCCACTTGTGAATGGACATGAGCAGCAGCTGCTGGTCCACTTTGCGGCCCATGATGAGGAAGTTGGACCCCAGGCTGTCGAGCTGGGCGCACGGGCAGTTGGCGCCGTTCTTGATGTACAGGGTCAGTTTCTTCAGGTCCTTCTTCCTCAGCACACCCTGCTTCAACACCTTCTTCTTCTTTTGGGCGGGCGATCAGCTTGCGGTCGCCCTTCTCCTTCTTCACCTCCTTGATTTTCATCTTGAGAGCTGAGGGAGAAGAGGAGGAAGAGGTATTTTTTTAGGTCTTTATTTTATTCTATAAAACTGATATTTAGACCAAGGAGCTGCTAATGTGTCATAATGATTCTGCTGTTCCTTTCTACTTTGAGCAGCTGGGACATTTTGTCTTCCTGCAAAGAACCACCGCTGTGCCAAAGACGCAGTTACAGTGTTTTACACCTCTCCTGTGCATCATCATTTAAACTCTCCTGCAGCATATTAAAACGGCATCCTGTGTGTATGTATGTCTGACTGGGGGAAATCCCATGAACGAAAAGGAGTTTCTTTTTTTTTCATTCCCACCTCTTTTTGGTTGTCTTAAGCCTTTGAGCGAACGTCCACGTCACACCTGATTAAAAGCAACTTACAAGTCTTTACAATCTCTAAAAGCTGATTATTTAATGCCAGAATAACATTTTTCCATCCCAACTGGGTTTAAACGTTTGTAGAACATGGGCCTCAACGTATTTTTTGCAGCAAATCATGCAGCTCCCGTGTTTTTAGGTTAAAGTTTCAAGTCAACTCAAGCCGTTATGGAGTAAAGTCACATCCTTTTCTGGATCTATTGCTCTCTCAGTAAAACGTTTTAACGTTGTCATTTTTCATTGTTATAATTTTCTATGTATCAATTATTTGTCATAATATTTTCACTTCTCATATTGTGTTTACTTCCATTGCAGCACTAAATACCGAGCAGAAAAGCCTTTGGGCTTATTTACAATGAACCCTGTTTTATCACCTTTTTGAACCAATAACCTGCATCTTCTCTTGCTTATGAGTGTAACGTCTGAGGGATCAAAATTTCAAATTTCACTGCCGAGCACTTGAGAGAGGAATTCTCTCTGGTAAAGTTTTGACAGGTGAAATTAATCGTTGGCTGCGTGAAGGCGAGAGGTTGGTATGAAGCGTCGCTGTTTACCCAAGCCGGCTGGAAAATCGCCATTTCACTTCTCGCCTCTGCGAACATCCCCTGGTACACTCAGATACATAAACAGTACATGCCAAGCAACTGCATGTTCAATGATGACATGTGTGTGTTGGGTTGACCCACATCATGTGTATATATATATATATGTGTGTGTGTTGGGTAAAGATTGGAAGGATCTAATCATTTCCTTTCCCGCTTCATGTTGACAGGCTGCTCATGTTCAGTGGGCCACACTGCACTCTTGTGACAAGCGGTGCCCACCTTTTTAATCTAAACTCACTTTCTAAGTACTGTCATTTTGACGTGGATCAAAAAATTCTCTAAGGGCAAACAGTGTACAAATATAAATAGGTGATAAGATTCATGAGGCGCGATATTAAGCTGTAATCAACTATCTCCTGGTGGAATAACATTGTATTGAGTCATTCTTGCCTTGATCTCCAGATCTACATCACTACTATCTTGACTTCTATACTCATCTGTTTACACACATGAATAGCCAAACTGCTTTCACATTAACCATGTTTCATTCTAATGAAAAGAAAGCATCCAGTAGTGGAAACAAAAAAACCTCACGTTGGCGGATTGAGATAATCCTGAATTAATCAGGCTAATAAAAATCGGTAGAGTTGCGATTATGGGCGATGACTGATATTTTTACAAAACTTGGTCTTATTTAAACTGCACCCGTTTCCTCCGAGGGACACAAATGTTATAGCACCAGTGTGGCCCAATTCATTTTCAGTTACGCTGTTCTCACTAATGAGACAGCGATATGCTCTTTTTGACATTTCTAGTTCAATGCTCAGAATCGTCAGAAATATATAATGAACTCTAAATTTGGGCATTAGTCCACGCCAGCAGATATTCAGATGCTGTGGAGCACGATGGGCAGAAATAGTTGAATACATATCTTGCGGATTCCTGTGCCGAAACTGCAATGCTGGAAAAAAAACGTTAAAAAAATGTCTGGACTGGAAGCTGTTATGTTTTATGTATTACTTTATGAAATGAAATTGCTTATGCCAGCCGAGGGAATACTGGAAATGTATGTGTTATCTGCTTGTACGCGTCTGTGCTCACTTTTCTAGAAATACTTTGAAGCAATAACGGAAGATGTGAGTTATCGCAAGAAAATTAAATATAAATATCTGCCCAATACTTATTATTTTTGTGTGCCAAAAACGGTAAAAAAAACGGTACCGACTAAAAGCAAGGAAGGGAATATTTTCTGCATTTTTTACCTGTGTGCCACCTGTAGGCAATGAATGTTAGTTTTTTTCTTATTAGGGCCCAAAATAAGACAAAAGCGACTTTACTGTGCATTAAACTGGCCCGTGGCCACCGCATGTCCAGCTCACACGTTACTTACCGAAGTCACTGGCGCAGTAATGCTCCATTATGTTGTCTGCTTTCAGCTCATTGTCACACGGAGGGCACACCTTGGACACTGAGGGAACAGAAAAGAGTCATTTGTCATTAGCAACTGAACCTAATCACACTAATGCCAGATTAGCTAATATCTTGAGGTCGTTGTTAGTCAAACGCGTTGGTATGAAATCGTTAAGCTCGAGTACTTTTGAGGCCCCTATTTGCAGCCCCCCTCCTCTTGTCAGAGGCTATTTGCTGCCGAGCGAATACACAGTCCAGCAAACTCGCTGGTGTTTGCCCTGCAATTACACCGGTGGAGATGTTTTTATTCCGGCTCTTGTATATTTTGGTGGCGCAGGCGTGGTCGCGGCTGCGCAGGAAGGTAAATGCTGCAGCGGGAGCAGCTGAACATGGTGAAAACCGCACATTGTGAAACAGCGAGAGGAAACCAAAGCAACAAGTTCCGTTTATTTTTAACTCAAAATGTATGGTCATGCCTGCTTTGCTCAAGAGCATGTTTAGCCTCACTAACTTGGATTTGAAACTTGATTGTTGTCATTGTGCACCCATCCACGAGAGAGAGAGCGAGAGAGAGAGAAGTAAAAGCCCCACATGAAGTCTTTTTTATTTGTTTACTGCAAAATCTTGCTTATTTCCTCAGCAGAAAATGATGGAAATATGATAACTCATCATGGATTTTTGACTCATTCAAACATTCTTTCCTAACTCTCTTCTTTCTAAGAAACACAAACACGCACAGACATGTTTTATAGGGCATTGCAATTTTCTTCAAAGGCTCTTCAATATAAAACATTACTATGGCAATTACCACATAAACTCCATGTAATCTCCGTAGGGCTGCTGTTGCAACATCAGTCCACCTATCCACAATATAGCATTGGGCCAATTGGCGCAGCAAGATATAATATTAGAAATGGTCAGAGAGAGAATGATGTGACAAATACATCAGCTCTACACATGGTTCAATATCAGACAAAGTATTTATTTTGATGTTTGCTGATAAGGACATGAAACATTTCAGTGATTTACTGACCACAATATCCCAAATATGTCCTAATCTCTCCCTCCCTCTCATTTTTCCTGTGTGTCTCACACTTACAAACACGCCCATATGATAATTCCACCGCAGTCCAACCCAGGCCTCTGGGTTAAAAGTCAGGGTTCAGAGGTTATCACCCCATTCCAAACCGCAACGTCTGGGCAGATAATGAGTGGGGTCAAAGTTTAGCATGCCTCGCTGCTCGGGTCGTGGGGAGGTGAACCCCCTTACTGCTACTGAGTGTATGTGTGTATGTGCTCGTGTGTGTGTGTGTGTGTGTGTGTCAGAGGCAGTTGAACCATGTTCTTGTGGAGTAACTGCCAGTTTTTACTCCGCCGAGGGTTCCCATCACAGACAGGAGACCCGCGAGGTCTACAGGGTCAGGCCTCTTAATTGTCTGGTGCTGACATGAAGACTGGGACAAGCGCTCGAAAACACACACACACACACATGCGCTCGCAGCAAGGGATGATAAAACTCTGCATTCGTCTGTTTTGAATGATTCCCTTGAAGCTGTTGCGTCGTATTCAGACTCCGCGGTAATTCATTCTGGTTTCACAGGGGTGGTATGTTGGCGGCAGGCCCAGTTGCATCGATGCCAGAGCTCGTGTCAGGAGAAAGCAGCCCCTCCATCAAAGTTAGTTGAGCTTGGACCGAAAACCACCGTTTGGAATTCGCTGAGGAATCGGTTAGACGCCGACTGCCCGCAGCACGCCGCTCTCTACGCCGGGAGGATCAACGTCATGTTCTGATGGTGTGTTCTTTTTCCTGGACACATTTCCACAGAGCAAATATTTTGACATTAGGTCATTAATGTCGTTTCCCATCACCTCAAGCAGTTGAGGAATTTTCTGACTTGGGAAAATGATGTTCTTGGTTTGGTTGAATTTGGACTTTATGGCACGCTGCTTTTTGTCTTCTGGGTTGTGCACTTAATCACAGCCACTTAAATGGTTCCATTCACGCTGAACAAGGTTATGGTATTTCCTTGTGGAGCTGTTGTTCTCCGGGATGACGGAGGTCGGGATTAAATGATTGCGGGTGAGAAGAATAGGGGTGGCGGGTTTGTGTAGGGAGGTGGTCTGTTGGAAAGCCCTGCTGCTAATCTTCAAACAGCAAAGCCAGAGCAGAGATGACGAACACCAAGAGTCCAGTAATTTAACTGCGTAGCTACACTTAGTCATCGCTCTAAGGTTAATATCACTTTCTCCTCCCCTGCTCGATCTATTTTCTCTTGTCCACCCCTCACGCCTTTTATCCTTTCACTTAATAGTACATAGTTTTGACTCTTGCACAAAACACCCCGTCCTATATATATATATCCGTGTCTTGTTCCTCGTCCGCTGCAGTTGGTGCGCCTCATTTGGGCCCTTTAAGTTACGGGGCAGCAACACTTATGACATAAAAAGGTACAGTGGCGGAGTTGAAATGCAGCGTGTGATTTACGTCTGAGGGTCTGACGTCTGTTTAAGACAGACAGACAGAGGAGAACTTTAACATGACCCAAAGGACCCCCCCCCTCCCTCCCAAAGACAAAGCACGCTCCTCGCATCTGTAGGAATCCTATACGGCAAAGAAAATACATTTTCAAAAGGCCGGGGCTGTCTCCCAAGTACACAGCATTGGATCACATTTTCCCTTTCATATGTCAGCCAGGGCCACATGAGTAGCCCCCATTGTGCTGCTGGGACACTGACAGCGCTGCCTGTCACCTTTAGCGCGGTCGCAAATTACACCAGCGTATCGATGAGCGCAGTGAGGACAGACTATATATTTCACTACGTGACTTTCAATGGGCAACGTATGTCGTATTGTGTAATTAAGTACGTTCTGCCAAGAAATGCACTGTGAGTTCTGCGCTTAAACCTACCTGCGTCTCTCATAACGGTAGATTAGCTGATGCTGGCAGCGGCTGAAGGGAGCATCTTTGAATACGCTCGAGCTGATGAGCAGACAGATCGAGCTCAGCTGGTCTCTTTGGCCCTCTGGACGCCTGGGCCCTCTTTTGTCAGCAGTCTGCTTGTCTGCCCGGGTATTGTCTACAGACTTGTGTTTCACATAATCACACCCCATGGGCCTCCGTTACACACACACACACACACACACCTACACAGCTACACACACCGGCCAAAAAAACATCAACATACACAATTTAAGTTCCCTGAGTTTTGGCCATGAGAGAGTGTTGGAAAGTGAATATAACTCTGTACTGTTAGTTTCCACAGTAGCTCTCGAACCATGCAATATCATGTTATTGCAGAATAGCTCAGATTGCAACGGGGCCTCCCGCACAGAGAGAGCAGTACTCAATACCTGTGATGGATCAAAGTCACCTGGAATACCACATGAGAGCTCATGTGATCGGAGAATCATCCATGTTCTTTTGCGCAGAGTTTCCCAGGAAACTCTTCTTCAAAGCGTAACTTTTTATCATTGCTGGGTGTGTGTGTGTGTGTGTGTGTGTCTGTGTGCATCTGTTTAAGAGCCAAAAGCTTGTCCTCAGGATGGCCTCGTCGGCACATCTGACAATCTCTGGTTCTTAACAAAATGTAAGTGGCTGAGCCTTCAGGCGGTGAAACAGGCTCACTATCAGTTTCAAACGCACACACACACACACGCACACACACACACACACACACACCCACACACACATACCACTACACCAGCTAGACCTTCAAAAAGCACCATCAAACCACTAATATTCTATTTTCGATTCATTTTTAATAGTTTGATTCAGCATCTTTTTTCTCCCTCTGCATGAAATTGCCCATCAGCGAAGACCCACTCTGATCCTTATTAGATTAGAAAGGATCAACAAAAAGTTGCCTGTTTGAGGAGGTAACGGATGAAGTTGAAGCCGCCTCCTTCTCAGAAAGCATGTAGGAGAATGAGTTATGGTTCTGCGAAGCCAAAGTGTCACATAGTTGATCCCCGTCCTACAAAAACAGCACAGCCATTTTCCCCTGATGGAATAAGTCGGCGCTGCATGAATTCACCAAAGAATGCTGAACCATGTGGATCGCTGCATATCAGTACGCTGCAAACATTGATAAAGGGCAAATATATGGCACACGCTTTATGAGTGACGGCACTAAACGGATGTTTTTGTCGTTATTGGATTTCATTTTGAATGCTTTATTAAATTAGTATAATACTTTTGCCTGAAGTTCATTTACTATCAGGTGAAATATTAACACACGTGACCATTTCAACCAAAGCAGATGAGAAATTGCAATAGTGGCAAGAAGAGGAACAATGAGAATAAAAAACTATTTTCCTTGAGAACTTATTCAAAGCGAGGAGGCAGCCACTTTAAGTACTTTACTCCTATTCTACACTTTGTCTCCCTCTCTTTACTCCCCCGTTTCCCTCACCTTTCACTCGTCTCCGTCCGGCTCTCTCAGGGACAATCAGACTTCAGCAGTTCCCATTCTCTGGCTGCCTCTCTTGTCCCTTCATGTCGACTAATTAGTGGGAGCTCGGTAATTTGGCCTCCCATCTAATTGGCCCGCTGGCTGCCCCGACCCAACAAAGGCCTGGCGTCTGGGACACGGAGGGGACGCGGTGGGGACAGTCCCCCCCTCCACTGTCTAAAGACTCTCATCAACTCCCTCTCTCCCCCTCGCAGCGCTGACTGCTTTTGTGAAGAGGCTGCTTAAGTAGTCACGGTGCACACACACACACACACGCACACACACACATTCAGCTTTTTACTTTCTATGTAGTTCCTTCTCACCGTCTCAACGCTCACTGTTCACCCGCATGCTGGTTCTACTTCCTGTGAAAAGTTACACAATCATTTTGTACAGAACTAGTGCTACTCTCCCTATTTTTTGGACCATCTTTGGTGTATTCGTACTCTACAGATCTATTGATGTGCATCGTGACAGCTTTGACATAATGGTTCTCCATTCATGCAGTAGTTTGATTGAGTGGCTGTTGCTGGACGTCTGCTGATACAAGTGTGTTTGTGCGAACGCAGGTGAGTGTGCGGTTGCTTTTCAGATAAGATGCATTCAGCATCACAGCCGATTCGTCTCAACTCGGTGAGCGATCTGGCCGTCGGAGACTCTGCCAGACGTCTCTCTCCCGTCAGTCTGTCTCCGTACGTCCCTTGAGGCGCGTGCAGAAGCCAGGGGAGCCGTCCTGAATTGTCCACTTACTCAAGAACTTTCACCTGCTAAATATTCCCCCTCTCGTCGCTCACGGCGACTCTGGTTAGTCTCCGACTTAAACTTTCGTCTGTCATCATTCGCTTTGCGGTGAAACCCTGTGACAGCCGCCGCGTTGGGGCTCTCACTGTATCCGGCTCTGGCGGCACGCAGACACCCGTCTGTCTTAGTAATGTTTTTAATGGGAGTAGAGCCATTTACAATGCACAGACAAACTATGTTTGCACAATAAAGGCCATAGAAAGACAGGAACTTCATATTTGGCTCTCCCTATTTGAAATACACGTGTCTGTGTGTTCTTATTGCTTCCTTAAATTTACACATGGCTCATGATTAATAATTGATTTGTACAGTATTAACAATTTTTGGCATACTCACAAGCTACATAATACCACTGGCATCTTCTTTTTATTTACTTTTTAAACTTAAATTGATTGTGTCGTGGTTGTTGAGCAAGTGATAAGCTCAATTACCACAATACAATCAATTCAACCTTTCGTATTTTGTAAAAACGTTGAAATTCCAGGAGGTGCTTTTAAGTCTTTACGGCTCCATTCTAAAAATGAGTACTGACCCCATCCAAGACTTTTAACTCATACGTGTCCGTGGATCGTTCTATGCGCGAGCATGCCGGGACGAGGGTGTGTGTGTGTGTGTTGGAGTGTGTGTACGTGCACGCGGCCGCCCTACCTGGTGGCTGCGTCGCGTGGTTCCCAGTGAACTGCATGGGGATGCAGAGGTCATTATCAATTGGAAACTTATCACAGGTCAGCATCTCTGGCCAGGGGAAGCCGTAGGTCTCCATCACCGGAGCGCAGCTGTCCCTCACGGCCTCACACAGCGAGCGGCAGGGGTAGATGGGCCTGTCCAGGCACACCGGTGCAAACAGCGAGCACAGGAAGACCTGGGTGTCTGCATGGCACCGTTTGGCCAGGAGGGGCACCCAGCTACCCGCCTGCTGCTTGACCTCTGGCATAGTTTCGTGGTCCAGCAGGTTGGGCAGCCTCATCTTTTTGTAGCCCACATTGTGGCACAGGCGCAGGTCGGCTGGTATGTCCACACACTGCGGTTGCTTGGTGTAGAAGCGGCCATTGTGGAAGTTGTCCGACTGCCAGCTGTAGTAGTCATACTCATCCGCGGCTGAGACGGCGAGGAAGAGGAGGAGGAGGAGGAGGAGGGAGAAGAGCGACGAGCCGGGGGCCAAGCTGAAGGAGCCCTGGGTTAAAGCCCACCTGGGGCTCTTTTGTCCGTGCGCCATGCCTTTCTGAGCCCAAACCAACAATTAAAGAAGGTTGTATCCAAAGTCTCCAAAGTGACTCAGGGGGAAGACAAAACGCAGAGTGAAGAGAGGAACAAGTGGGGCAGGCGCACAAGCTGTAATCCCTTTTTTTTCTGTCCTGAGTGTGGACGCTGTGGGTTGAAAACAAAGTGTTTTAATTCCCTTCTTTCCTGCAGACTCAGCCCTCTAAGCCTCCCTGAAAGACCTCCCTGTGTCTGTGCGTGTATGTGCGCCTCAGGTAGTGCAGTAGGGAGGCAGCCGTCAAGCAAAGGTGAGCACAGGACTGCTTATCGTCCAAATGTCTCACTCTCCCCTGCCCGCTCCCTCTCTGAGACCTGTCTCCAGCCTCTCCCCGCTCGCTGTTTATCTGTCTGCAGCCGTAATGAGGAGTACCTTGAGCTTTAAGAGGCACTGGTAGCTGCTCTCTCCGGCTGCCTGCCCCCCTAGCAGGCACCGGGGGCCACTCACCTCCCTACTGGCCTCCCCTGCAGTCGCTCACAACAACAGCGGCCAATCACAGCGCTGGGGGCGGCGCCCAGTGGTCTCCGGGACACTCCTCTAACCCCTTGTCCACTGCGAAACCCCTCCTCTGCAACAAGTTAACATAAGAAAGGGAAAGAGAGAGAGAGACACTATGGCAAGTAAAAAATATAAATATTTATAACAACATTCTTTAGTGAGAAACACATCCTCAAATATTCAGAGCAGACATTGTCGCCCTCCAAGTCGGGTTCTTTTTCTCATACATTCCGAGACCTTCTGCCTCTCGTAGATTTACTCCCGAGAGGCTCAACAACCCACTTCTCCAAACATAGAAGATGATGTTTGCTTGCCGTTCAAGATATACTCATTTTGACAAATGAAAACAGTCGGCTGTAACAGGCCTCTGCAGGCACGAAGAGTGAGGAAATGTGCTCTCTCACGCACATTCCCAAGCGCGATTGTGAAGTGGGAGGAATCCAAGAGAAGAAAGTGAATTCAGCGGGTGGGAAAGAGCCGCGCTGGGGTGACGGAGTGTGTGCGGTGCAGCTACAGGTGGCAAGGTGGTTTGCCCGCACTATGGGAGTTATGCTAATGTGTGTGCCGGCTGTGAATAGAGGCACGCTGGCTCTCTGTCTCTTACTATCAGTGCCACTGACACAGCAAGGGCCGTTGCCTTGGCCGCAACCTCTGAAGAAGGGTCGCCCTCCCATCCTTTCAGAAGGACGTGAGAGCCTCACGTGGAGCACTTCTACGTTACGCAGTCCTTCTTCTCCTCGTGCGAATGGGCTGTAAAAGCAGGTTCATGCAAAGCATAGTGAAGAGTTTGTTCGCTGGCACAAACTGACATCTTGTCGTGATATAAAAGGGCTGTGGGGGAACGACGTGGATCATACTGCAGCTGGATACTGCTGACTCAGAGACAAAGTAGAAGGGGATGAGATTTGGGGGTATTATTGTTATCTGTATGTGGCAGTACAAACAAGGAGAATGTGTGTGTGTGTTGTGAAAACTGTCGGAGGTGAACCAGGATAAGAATCAGGGATACTATTGTTCTTTGCCTCCAGTGTAGAAGGGGAAATTCCTGAAACAGCAGTCAGTCCGTAAAATCTAATTCAATAAGATGAAATTGAATAGATAAAACTGTGGATCGGTATCAGGCCACCAGGCAGAGCGATAAAACCCTGCACATTATCCAACAACCCATGTAGTTCCACAGTATCTTGAGCATACTTATTTCCCAAGCCAGGGGATTATGAATACAATTACTACACCGTCGCATCATGTTTTTTACTTGAGAATGGAGTTGAACATGTTGCTTATCTTTCCGAGTCACAGTTGGAATCCCCGGTGACTTACTGCTGCAGACAGATTTTTTTGTTTTTGGGAGAATCCAAAAGCTGCCAGCAAAATAAACAAAGCTCAATCTTCTCCTGGAGCAGATCTCCTAAACTGCAAATGTCGAAAGATGAGACGGCGGTGAGCTGAAGTCACCCCCTTAAAAATGTCGTCGTCATCACTTAAAGCGTCATTGAGTGGATATAAAGAGCTGCTTTGGTTTGATAAGTTTATAGCCAAAGCTAATTGACTACATTTCCTCACCTCTCCTCTCCCATCACTCTGCTACTACTTTCTTTGTGTTTGGTTATTCACGGGTAGAAACTACTCTGCAAACCTTTGCACCACAGCTAATCAATATTACTCACAGCAAATAATCGGCGGACCTTACTCTTTTATGAAGGGCTTGTGAGATTGTCTTGTGCGCACCTCGCTATCTCTGTGACATATTGTGTATTCACATTAGTTCGGTGGTGACCTATTTTAAGACCGCCGGCGTTTCCTCTTGATGCAGGCACAGTGTCCTGCCCTCAAGTCGATAACAAAAGTGTCTTTCATGGTAATCAATCAACAATGGTTGTCTCCTCTTGTTCTCCTTCCCCTATCTGGCCCCCGCTGCCAACGGCCAATCAATTCCACTCTTGAGTTTCCAGCCTTCTGATTGGACAAGGGCTATAAGATTAGTGCCAGTCTGTATTGTTGGGCCTAAAGGTTTAGTATGGTTTGAAAAGAGTGTCCCAGCAATTGTATGAGTGAGTGTGTGTGTGTGTGTGTGTGTGTGTGTGTGTTAGAAGATGGTGATGGTGTGTGTGTGTGTTTGTAAAGAGGAAAGGCTGGAGAGTGTGGGTCAGGTGGCCAGACACCCACACATGCCGTCCAAGCAGAGTTTGAATTTAAAAAACCACACAAGTGGAAGGAGGAGATGGTGTGAGCGCCAACACACACATCCACATGATGCATGTCTCTCTCCGACGGGACAAACTGCCAAGTAGAGGAAAAGGGTATTTTCAGGACACCGTTGTACTGATATATGACATTCTACTTTGTTATTTTTCATCCTGTACGTCTGATTCTCTCTCACACACACACACAAGACTTTTGCTGTGATCTGTTGTAGAACCACTGAAGGAAACACTGCAGTTTTGCCACAAGAGGCAGTATAAGCGTTTTGGGATGAAGGCATTTGGGATGAATAAAAAGTGTGATCAATAGCGTTCCCAAACTTGATGTATAATCCGTAAAGTTTTTGAGCAAATAATGGAAGTTTAGTAATCTGTGCCCCGATAAAGCTTGCAAACAATGTGAGAAGGGTCATTCAGTCCACAGACCACGACGGATGAAATAATATGAATCACTGGAGAGTTCAAGTTCTCAAGGAATGTCACAGACTTGCACAAAACTTGGCAGATGGAGTGCCACCAGGAAACGTCAGGTTAATACAGTATCGCTTCAACTGAGCATTAGGCCGGGAATGACTGTCAGTTTGGACTGTTGCACGTAGTTGCTGAAATGTGATGACATTATGTTGGAAGAGTTTAGCACCACACAGTCACATAGTCTTGAATGCGCAGAGGCTTGTCACAGTGGACAGAGGTTAAGAGATATGCTGACAAGCGTTGACCTTCTTGTCTTCACCATCACCTCCAGTACATTTTTGCTCGATTCTTTACTTCCTTTTTCTCTCTCCGTCTGTCTTCACTCCCGCTTCTGCCGTCCTCTTTCCAGATTGGGATGCTTCTCTTTGAGACGTCGGGGGGGGGGGGGGACACAAAAGGTAGAAAGGTACATTCAGTCACACAATCAGACAATGTGACAATTTCTCCTCCCTCTGCCCGCCCACCCGCCACACACAATCAGGCACAGAAACACACGCGCACACACACACACACACACACCGCCCTGCATTGTCAACTTAAACCCTTACCACTGGCTTTAACTTCCACCAATCCAAGTCTTTGTAAAGGCGCTTTGACCAGATCACCGTCATGCAGCCGAATGTAAAGAGACAGAGAGGAGAAAGGGACACACAAACTGGGGCTGATGTGGCTTTTTTCAATGTGTAAGTGTGTGTGGTCAACATCTAGCCCCCCAAAAAAAGCCTTTGAGTGATGGGAAACCTTCTCTGAATCTTGTGACAAGCCGAACCCACACATAGACTCATAAACATAAGACACAGCATACAGACTGTTATTGTAACGGGGCCAGAGAGAATGGCTCTCGTCAGCACTTCGGGTCAAATATGCTACCACGGTGCTAGAATTCACACAATTGGTACATGTCTGTCAGTGTGAGCCCGCTCGCATATCCAGTCCAACATCTCTACATGGAAAAAAAAAAAAGTGTTTCCTCAAACTGGGGTATGTAAGTGTCAGCTTCGGCCTCGTCAGTTTCGAGCAGCACACGTCCGATGTTTAATCCTGGGATATTGATTTCGTCCAAGTGTGGACGGGTGCAAGTATGCAAGAAGCCAGCTAGCATGACAGAAAAAGAGATGAGGAAAACGAGAAAGAGAGCGAGGGCTAAGAGACCAACGGTGACTACAGTGTGCACACGCCATGAAGAAAATAACTTCATTTCGAGCTGGGCAAAGCTGATAGTAACTCTCACTGTTTCTCACTGTTTGATCTGTGTATTTTTAGGGAAATGGAAAGGGATCAGTTTAATGTAAAAATTTGATTTGTGAAACCTCTCTGTGCCGTAATAGTTTTTTGGAGGGGGGGGGAGTTTGCCTTCAGGTAGTTGCTCAAAGCAACCACAGGTCAGACCGAGCCCCAGCAATTCCAGCTACATTCATATAATTTGATATGTAGAATAAATAAACGTGGGGCTTTTTGAAACGCTGATTTATTTAAATAAAGGATGTGAAATGTTTTGAAGCTCCCCGGGTCCCTCTTTGACCCCGTCTATTTCACTCGCAACCTGTGCGTGAGCTACTGTGTAGCCGAGTATTGCAGCTCGGCTCTCAGTCTTTGGTGTCGTTCCAGGTCTTGCTGTTCGTAATCGGAATCCAACTTTGAGCCTCGTTGTGTGTTTAGGCTGCAACTGCAACGGCCGCTGTAATTTATGAGCGATGGACTTCATCATAAAACACTTTCCTGCCCCTTGATCTGTTAATGCATGCGTGTGCGGGTGTGTGTGTGTCCATGGATCCATCTGCTTGTCTTTCGACATATAATCCCAAATATGTCAGTGAGCACCCAGTTTTGCTCCTCGCGTTATCTCGTCATCTTTTTGTGTGCGTGGGTGTCCGTGGGTGTGTGTGTGTGTTCACAAATCCGATCTGCTCGTCTCCGTAACAGCCGGGGTCATCAGTTAAGGATCAGACTTCACCTCTGTTGAGAAATGGAGATATGAGTTGCAACAAACCGGGAAGGATTTTCTCATATCTCAGTGAAAGATCGCATGATAACATTTTTGTCTGACGGGAGAAAACTTTAGCATCACTTAACAAGGTATTTATTGTTCCGGATGCCTGTGACAAAATCCTCTTGTCTGGTGCATTGTCCAGACCAGTGACATTGTGTAACTGCGTATTTCTGCTTATCTTACGCCATATTTTAGTAAATTCTTATTCAAGT